GCTCCTACCGATCAGGTTGATGAAAGCAATGAGGGTGGCGTGAGGAAATAGTGTATAAAGACCAGCTCGGTGTATAGTGGCTGTTTTTGGTTGTGTTTTCTTTAGTAAGAGTGGAGTCAGGTAGAGTAGAGTCCAGTCGAGTCCAGTCGCAGACAAAGTATGTATACTTGTTTTCCCAGCCACACGCCACGCCCACACAACGATAGAGAACCTGACCATATATGGTTTGGGCTAGGTGGGATGGCGATGAATGCTATTGGTGGGTAGGTGTTGTTTACAAACGGTGCACGTGCGTGCGTGCGTGCGTGCGTGCGTGTGCAATGGGGGTGCGAAAGTGCCTTCAAGAACACCCAGAACTGGCGCTGATTTGTACACCTTCTGGTACCAGTGTCGATGGTTCTAGCCGGGGATGTAAATTGGGCGCTATGTGCAAAAGTTTTGGTCACGACTTGGGCCTAAAGATTATTGGACCTAACATGGGTCAGGAAGGCGCCGTCGCCCCATGGAATCGGTGGTAAACATGACTGCTTCCGGGTCAGTTTTATGAATGGTTGCTGACCTTTTACTCCATAGGCACCATTGGACATAATGACTCGTTCAAAAAGATCTTCGAGTTTATGAAAATATCATTCTTGCTGTCGATTCGTCCACACATTATGACGTTTGTTTCAAAGAAGTTACGTTATCATTAAGTAGGATCAAAATCTGCCATACCATATGTTTCCTTGGTTCAAAGCAGCCTGCCACCACAAGCATGATGTCACATGATTTGGTCACTCTCCATAGCTTCATGTTGTGAATGACCAAAAAAAACATGACTCTGCAAGAGGATTTAATACACCACAATAAAGACACATGTATTGAGATCCACATCATCGAAATCTGCACAGGAATTTCTTGGCGCATGTAGTTAATAATGTTAAATGTATTAAGTAATCAAATTACGTGAACCATTTTAATGTGAAAATGAATCTGGATTTTGTTCTGAATGCACACCTCGATCAATTAAGATCGCTTAAAGATGAAAACCTGTTCGCCCAAGCCAAGGCAGAAAAGAGCTAATGGCGAAACGTACTATGTCATAACTTCGATCGTGAAAGAATTATATCCAGTAGGCCCAACGCAATTGTAAATAAATAATAAAATAAATTTGGGGAATGGGAGGACGCATTCATTGCAATTCATAATACATAAACTTTAGGAAAGAGGTTAGGTGTATGTAAGTCAAAATGTTCGATGTACCACGACGTGCAAATGTATATGATGAATAGACTTCAACAACATTGAAGTGGTCCAGCGTTTGCTGGTGCAGCTGTGACAAAGGTGGCAACTGAAAATAATATTCTTCTCAGATGTACTACCCATAACACTATCAGGACGTAGTAGTAACTGCTGAATGTGTGAAAATGTCAAATACCCGCTACAGCCCAACCAAGTGTTGGGGATGTTTATTTTAGTTACATTAAAATATATTATTTTCAGAGAATACATGTAATTATGTAGTCAAGGCTGTATCATACACGGCACAACATGACTTCAATTTTAAATAGAAGCCGAGGGGAGGTGCCTGGAGAGAGGAAGTTTTGGCCAAAACACCAATATAAAATATAAAATAACAACGTGCCACGTTCGTATCCTGTTCGAATTTTATGTTTTTAACCGTGGTGTGGCTTGCTTCGGCATCTACGCCTCCATATTTCAGATACAACTTTGTGTCAGGTGGTGTACCAATATAATGACTGGAAGCGACGGCAACGCTCCCATTCGACAACGATGACTTTTAACGGCGCACTCAGCACTATTCCAGCTATAAGGGGCGGACTGTGAAATAATTGAGTCTTGGACAGACAGACAACACAGTAGTAAACAGCATGCGCATCGATCTACGCTGTGGGATACGATGACACGTGAAGACCAGACCACCGATACTGTCGGTCCCCTATTACAACATGCATGGGTTGCTGAAAACCATGTGATATGTACGCTGTGTAACGCGTTACCAGAGCCGATGCGAAAGCAAGACACGGTTGAGTGGAATTATCATGCTTGAACGGTGCACCTTGTTTGTGAAAACACATATCACATGTCAAAATACAGCCACTTCATACTTTGGTGATTACCCTAAGGTCGACGGGAAACACGTCTGCGTCGATTTCGCCATTTCGTATTGCCTGTTCTCCTGTGTATATATGACCGACAAGATGACATGGATTATATAGTATTTCCTAGACCGACAAATAGAGTGTGAAATGAAAATACTGGAAAGGGAAAGAACAGTTCCTGATTTATAAATTATAATACAAAGGAACCCCAAAACTCTCTTCACTGAACTAAAACTGTGCTCAGGGGCGGATACAGCTTTTTTGAGAAAATGGGGTTGGGTCTGGGGATTTGCACGGGATTTGGCACTGCCTGTAATGTAACCATTACAAGGACTGTTTCTATTGACTGACCTGGTACAGGGTGTGCTATACTTGCAACTAGAGAGGAGATTGGTGTACGGGTGATTGGTTATGATGGCAAAAAGGAAGCGTGGAAGCCAGATGGACAAGAGAGGAGATGAAATATACTTGATTTTATGGTTTCAAGAAGTTTCCTAATATGGCAGTCTACTCGGTTGATTTGACTCATGTTAGCGGCCGGCCGGTAGATATTTAAATGCCGCGTAAGCCCGTACAGCCCAAAACTCCTAACCCTAACCCTAAGCCTGGCACCGAATCACAAACCTAAACTTAATTCTAACCCTAACGTCAGCTCTAACCCTAACCATAACCATGACCCCCGAATTCCAACCCTAATCCTCAACCTCAACATAACCCTAACCTCAATGTCAACCTCACCCATAACCTAAACTCAAACCTCAACCTAATACTAGCTCAAACCTCAACCTAAACCCAACCCCTGGCTCCTAAACTCAAACCTCAACCTAACCCTAACTGAACTTGAACCTGAACCTATCCATAACACTCCACCACCCCTCACCTCACCCCTCACCCTCACCCTCACCCTCACCCTCACCCTCACCCTCACCCTCACCCTCACCCTCACCCTCACCCTCACCCTCAACCTCAACAAGGGGTAAAGTGACCAAACATAAGTTAGTTCTGGACACCCGCTTGCGCGTCCCCATGGATACAACTATATTCCTAACATGTGTTTTACCAGGGCCACAGTGATAGTATGAGATGCCTTTGTTATGTGGTGGGATTCGACGGGGTATTTGTGTGGTACTTAGGACAGTCTAAGTAGTGGTGCCATCATTCCTATGTATGCTGGCATCTACATGTAAGTAGTTCAGTAACACGGACATTGTAACGCTGTGCAATGTGATGACAAGCCAAGTCATTGTGCACCAACACCTAGCTTCTCTATGCCACACTTCTGGGAATGCACCAGGTTTGTGACGACGAATAATATACTTCACCTCGGAAGCATGCCCGTATGAAGCCATGCTTACTTTTAGCCTAAATCTCCTTTGAGGTATGAACCAAAACTCGGTCTAGTTGGACCAGGCCATATCAACACTCTCAACTCTCTTAAGCTTTTATGACATTCAAATTTGAGCCGTCTGCCAGAGCTATCATTTCAGGCCTGTGTTTGTGGAACCAGCTGTGCACATTTGATCTGTGTTGTTATTTATTTCATTTATGCTGTTCCGGTCCAGAGACCCCTGCCGTATACACACGCAATCGACCAAGTCCATCCAATACTTGATCCTGATCCAGCTGCGGAGCCACCCCTCTGTCTGTCTGTCTGTCTGTCTGTGTCTGTCTGTCTGTCTGTCTGTGTCTGTTAGGTACGACTGCATCTGCATTTTGTGGAAAGCTGACTACATCCATTATGATTGCTGTTGGTATTTACGCGTTCCTCGCTTCAAGCTATCGTGGGTAAACATGCTGGAAGACTAAGGCACTAAATGCGATGAAGAACCACGTGTATCTCTTTGCAAAGTTTGGCCTTTAACATTTTGCTTTAAATACACATTACTGGGATCACGGATCTTCACGGATCGGGTATTCATGCTTCACTGCAACATGGTATCTCAGTGGGCTAGCACTATAAAACCAGCTTCAGTATGGGCTAGTACAAGCAGCCGCACATACACATACACACGCATGCACGTCGTCATATGAGCGAAATATTCTCAAGTACGACGTTAAACCCAATTTCACCTCACCTCACTTCACAGGGGGCCCTTATTGTGCTTGTTAATGGCCATGTTTTCCTCAACACCAGTTTAAAGTACGGAGCAAAGGTGTTCACGTGCACAATACATTTTCATGTTACACATGTTATGTATAGGATTACAAGTTTTTCGTAAAGGTCAGATTCTAGTACTTTTAACCAACTTTCTAAATGGCAATGGCTATTCATAGTTTTCGGCCGCAGTAGCCATGCCAATTTACACTTGTCAGAGGGTTACACAAAGTCCGTGGTCTAGACTACCAGTTGTCAGACTTTTTGTGAGCGGGTTAGATGGCTGCCTTTGTGTGTTGGTCATTAGGTCCCTCACTACCCAATCAAGGGTGAATTTGGATGTTTAAGGACTTTCTGTAGTAAAACCTAATGCCGGGAATCTAAGCGAGTGATTATTGAGTGAGTGAGATTTTAGCAATGTTTCAGCAATATCACGCGGGGGACACTAGGAATGGGCTTCACACATTGTACCTATATGAGGAATCGTGCCCGGGTCTTCAGAGTAAGGACCGAACGCTTTAACCCCTAGGCTACCCCACCGCCCCCTTGTGTGGGAACAAGATGGTTGGGGAAATGGTCATATTGAGTACCTTTTATACCTGTTTGTTTGCACATAACGATGAACGATACACACACATTAGACACGCTGTGTTTCATTCACCAGATATACGCCCCAATACACCCACATTTGTCATGTGTCTCTACACATGAACAGCGCTGATATGTAGTCAGGCAGTTAGACTTTAAACATGCACCGGATAGATTACACTTCAAGTATGTGAGTCACGTGTAATCTGCCGGAAGTGACCTTTGTACCACAGGAGAAGGAAGTTATTTGTCCAGGTAGGTGTGTTGTAACTGTCTCTCATCTCGCAGGCCAGTACACGGTTATCTGTCTGGTCAAACATTTGCTAGTATATGTCACGAGGCCACGTTGTTACTGCTTGTGGTACAAATACAATATTTGTACAGTTTACATCGTGGTTATTTGTGTTACGTAACAACAACAAATTTCTACTTTCGTCTTACGATGATGGCAAAGTCCTACACGTCATGACACAGTGTTTTGTGTCACATCGTGCACAGACAAGCCTCTACCGTGTAGTGTTAGTTTAAAAGTACGTTGTGTAAAAAATCGTACCAGCTTGCTCTGCAAAGATGTCTAAAGCACGGAAAAGATCGATTATTGTAGAATAGTTATTGTGGTCGCGGTGAAAATACTGCCCTGCAATGGTATATGCTGCAGTTAAAAGAATGTGTGTGGATGTCTCACAATGCTGAGGCGATAACGTTGATATGCCGCGCGTCGCCCAGTATTTCGGGGACATAGGTCACATGTAGGTGGGCTGGTAAAATGATACTCAGGGTGAGATTTCTGTTTTAAATTTCTGCCTGGCCTCTCACTGAACAACACAAATGAACTGACATAAGTTCGGTCATAATAGCCACACGTGCATGCGCGTGCGTGTTGCAATGTATTACTTTTTGCTGTTGTTCATTGGCGTATGTGTGTGTGTGTGTGTGTGTGTGTGTGTGTTTTGTTTCGTTTTGTTTTTTGTGGGGTTTTTTTGTGTTTTTTTCGGTGGGGGATGGGGAGTTGTTTGTTTGTATGGGCTTTGTTGTTTTAGGGATTATGTTTGTTTGGTTGGTTGGTTGTTATTGTTGTTGTTTTGGCTGGGGTTGTTGTGTAACGTTGCCCTCAGTGATATTCCAGCTTTATGGCGCGGGTCTGTTAATAAACTGAGTCTGGACCAGACAATCCAGTGTACAACATCATGACTATCTATTTGGATCGGATGATATGTGTCAGCGAGCCTGACCAGCCGATCCCGTTAGTCGCCTCGTGCAGCAAACGTGGGTTGCTGAAAATCAATTCTAACCCGAATCTTAACGAGTTGTTGCTATCTATAAGTGCAATGCGTCTCTAGACATTTTATTATATTTTATGAACATAAATATAAAACCGTTTTCATGCAAAATGTGTTAATGCCAGAGACTAGATGTTGAATCTAATCAGAGTCTAACTCAACAACACATTGTGGTGAGGTACACGATGACATATCTTATTTAAAATAGTTGGACAAACGTACAATGCAATGTTGGGACAGATAAAATGGTTAAACTGTCTGGCAAAACATCAGGTATAAAGCTTTTACAAAATGTAAGGTAGGAGTTAAGGTACATTCCTCAATGGATGTGAAATATAAGTGAAAGAAAGATTTGTCGATCAGGCCTTGAATGTCACCATAACCTCCTTTGATAAAAACTGATATTTTACTGTTGCGTCTCCGCGAAATCTATCTGTAGACGAGTACGTGAAATAATGATTGGTGTAACTACAGATTACAAACCAGTGTTTAGGATTGTGTGAAACAAAAGAAATTGTGCAAATGAACACGACAGATATTGGCAGGGTCCGAAAATTTCTAGTTTCTGACAGAAAGGAGGATTTTAAAAGCTTTCTACTGTGGACAAAATGTCTTGAGTCCCAATAAGCGATTTGACGTTCGGTGTAAATTAAACATTGAGATGCTTAATTAACTATTCTTTGGGTTTTGCAAACTACCCATGTCACCATAAAGGGAAATAGGTACACCTACAGAATATCGGATACCTACCAGCCATACTGTTTAGTGTCACGTCACCCTAACGCTAAACATTACCCTAAACCTTACCCTCACCCTAACCAAAAGTAAACTCGCGTGCTTTCAAAGTTGGCGGAAGGTATCCGGTATTCTGTAATCTTACTAGGACATATCACAGAGATCACTCATTAAAGTCTACTGTCTTTCAGAATGGACATCTTCCCAAAGTGCTCTGTCTGTCATCAGCAGTTTGTCCTCAAAGGTCCCGCCCCCTACCTACTGCCCTGTCTACACGCTGTGTGTGAGACGTGTGTGACATCTGCAGCTGCTGGTGTGATATCATGCTCTACTTGTCAGACGGAGGTCAACCTCACAGACACAAGCCTCCAGAAGGATGCAGTGAGACAGAAAGAAATATTCCATCTGACAGCCAAACATCGCCCCACAGAGCTTCTCTGTACACACGAAGATGACGGCAACCAGGCTGTGTGTTGGTGTCGGGAGTGTGAAGAGCTCCTCTGTGAATACTGCCAGAATATGCACAGCAGCTTCAAACTTACCAGAAAACATGTACTTCAAAACCTCAGCGACTTTAAACCAGCTGTCTCAAACATTCCAACCCCTTGCAGTATCCACAGCCATGACACTCTTTATCTTTTGATCAGAGATGCAAAATTTTGATTTGTGGAAGATGCAGATTTGAAGATCACGCAGATCATGAAGTTGAGAAGTTAGATGTGGTAGCTAAAAGTATCCTCAAACAGCTGGACCAACATTAAAACTGAGCTGGCAACCTTACAAGCTCGCCAACTGTCCAACATTCAGAATATCAGACGAGGGACCGAAATCACAGATGCAACGCACAACACGTTGAAAGAAAATATTGGCCATACTTTTAGAACTCTGCGATCACAACTTGACCAACGAGAGAAGGAACTTCTGACTGATCTTGTTGGTCAGACGAAGGCGACCAAGACAAGTCTCCGTACTCAGCTAAACACATGTGAAGAAGCTTCGAAGAAATGCTCTGAAGTTTCAGATTACATCAGCAAGGTTCTCACGTATGCCTCACAATCAGACCTCCTTGAGTTGGAGAGTTCTTTAAGGGAGGCAACTCGGGCTTTGCTTGACACTGTTGAGACTCAAACACTGGACATACCTGCAGCTGTCTTTTGACACCAATGGCTTGTCAAAGCTGAAATCAAACATATCACGATTTGGGGCTGTCGTGACCAAGGACATGGAAAAACAATATGCAAGAGGTATTTATATGAGATATGATTGCACGTTCTTTTTATTGCGTGTAGGAGGGAACAGCGTTCTATAGTGCTTACAGATGCACTATTCTTATGGATACACAATGCCATTTAGAAAGTGATTAGAATTGATTTTTTTATTGTGTGTAGAAATGGAACAGCGTTCTATAGTGTTATGTTGTATTTGGGACTACTTCACGTTCTCAGTAAATTACAGATTCTATGACTGTTTTGGGTCTAGAATCCGTAATTTACTAAGAAGCGTCCTTCAAACTGACATTGTCTATTGTCTATATCTGTCGGCCATGTGGGCGGTGTCAATTCACATTTGTCAGAGGGATACACAAAGTACATGATGTAGTCTACCAGTTGTCAGACTTCCATTTCTATGGAAACCGCGCTGGCTGAGTAGGTTAGATCGCTGACTTTATGTGATCGGGTGCCTGACTCTGAGAGTGTGGGTTCAAAGTCACGGCTGGACTCAACCTATCAAAAGAACTAGAATTTGTACTTTACGGAGAAAGTGTAATCCCAAATATAACATGTGACACATCATTCTCAGCAACTCGAGTTTCTTGTTCGAAGGCAACTAATATTATAAATAAAGCACCGGTACTGTATTGACACACTGCCATTGTCTAGTCAGCCGAGTTGTATTAGATACTTAATAAACACGCACTTTATAAACAGTAACACTTGCTCATAATATGTTGGAATTTTACAGTCGAGATTTCTTATGGATGTCCCATTATCGCTGATGGGGCGTAAAGCACCAATTATTCATTCATTCTTAAGGGGGTATTTACATCATTGTGTTGTTTCAGACAAGGAAACTCAAACTGAACATGACTTCATAGCTGAGATGGAAATCAAATATAAGAACGTGAGTTTGGTAATTAAAATAATATAATGCACCATAACCGCTAAAGAAGAGCGTATGAGATAGTATGTATGACTACAAAGAATTAAATGTACCAGAACCAATTAAAATGTAAGACAACGATCTAAAACATTCTGAATCCGTTTTCAGAAGTACATGTCCATAATTACCTATCTAATGTCTACAGCACATCGCTCGCCGCGAATAGCTGTAATATTGCTGATGCGGGTGTTAAGGAATAATTATTCATTCCTTCATTCATTTCATTCATTCATTCAGCACATCGGAAAACAGAAGAGGATCATTGACTGAGACAAAACCAAAATCGAAATACATGCAAGCTATATCAGAATTTTAACAATCTGAGACTGCTTTTTAAACATTCACTTTATTAAAAAGAGGTACAAGGTAACTTCAGTTATTTTGGGTCACGCTGGAGACCTGGGTTCGATTCCCACATGGGCACAATGTGTGAAGCCAATTTCTGGTGTCCCCCGTCGTTATATTGCTGGAATATTGCTAAAACAAATGTGTAAAGCTAAACTCACTGACTTACTCATTCAGTTATTTTGGAGGTATTCGTTGACAACGAAGTTGGGACAATTTATAGATAACACTTTTATGGTGACTACACATCGTAGGCCGTTATAAGGTTGTCAGACCATTGTAAAGCAATCCAGAAACATCGCTGTGCCAGTAGATAAAATATACGGCATATTCGGTACATTGTATGTTCTTTTCCGAGTTAAGTTTAAAATATTTAGATATTTGTACATACCTTTCACCTACCTCCCCATATGTCCCGACATACATACTTACAGACAATTAAGTCTGATTAAAGGGTTATCTTTTCAGAGCATCGATGACATCGAGAAGAGAGCCTCAGAAACCACCCATTTCCTGCTTGGTAAAGTCCAGTCACCTTTGTTCCTTTACTTTCTTCGTTCAGATAACTGAGTCCAGGTTTTAACACTAAAATGTTGGCCTGTGTGTTGGGTTTATTATTGACATTCACTACAAGATATGAATATGTTGCTTTATCAAAGTGATGGCAATGTTGATGTTGCAGGGCTGCTCAATGAATGCGATGTTCACCTGCTGAAACCAGACGTCTTGGACAAGTCGATGGTGCTGAAGTGTATGTTCAAAATCTACCCATTTACCATCTATGCTTACACTACAGCCTCCGAACCTCTTGCCACATCATGGAGGTGATTTGGGGGGCTTGGCTACATTAGCCACCTAGTGTATTCTGTAGTAGAATGTTTTGGAACAACTGTTTGGCTAATGATCGACGTACAATGTGTTTGTTTGTTTGTTGTTTAACGGCGCAATAGGCAATATTCCAGCTATATGGCGGCGGTCTGCAAATACTCGAGTCTGGACCAGACAATCCAGAGATGGACAACATGATCATCCATCTACGCAATTGTGATACGATGACATGAGGCAACCAAGCGAGCCTGACCACCTGATTCCGTTAGTTTTCTCTTACGACAAGCATAGTTTGCTGAACACAAATTCTGATCCCGATGTCAATGCTGACTATATTTGGGATACAGCAACATCATCCTAGAGAGAATTTGTCTTCTGAATCGGTGACACCTTATTAGTGTTTGCTGGACTGGTCACTTATTGTACCTTCTTTCAGAATGTTACACTCCAGTAGATACGATGTTTATGTGATAGGGCGTGAAATGATATACATATGACATTTTCGCTTTGTCAGCTTCCTGTGCTATGTGGACGAGCCATCCGACTTCCAATCAAAAGGTCAATGGTTTGAATCCCATCACGGGATACTGTACTTTTATGGCCTGTACATAACAATCGGTGATCAAAACTGACCTTCACGTTGTTGTGGTTTTATCATTTTGTTCTCAAGATTATCTTTTACTCGTTTGTTTGTTGTTTAACGTTGCATTTAGCAATATTCCAGATATGTGACGGCGGTTTGAAATTATTCAGACAACCCAGTGATTGACATCATGAGCATCTAATCCACGTTTATGTGTTGTAGGTATACATCTGAAGTATGACACAGATAAAGTAAACCTTGACCACACCCACATCAACACAGAGGGATCTTGATCAACAGCAAGTCTGACACCAGGTCTGCAGGGAAAGGGACACTCAAGAAGAACTTTGCCACATGCAGCACTATCCCCTCCCTTGGCTGATTGTCCCCAGTACTGGGAGACGGAGACCAGGGTCGGACTGGACAAAACACTCACAGGGAGCATTCTCATCCTGGAGGTTGGTGTCTGTGCTGAGGGAAAGATGGACATGACTCACTTTGTAGCCCGTCGTCCCCATGCCTACAGCTTTGACCGTCGAAAACTGTCCTACTCATGAAGGGATATGCAGGAGAACCTGGAAGGAGGGAAAGGAAGTGTTACATCTACCTGACACCATCGCCATCCCCAACACAGCAGGGGCATCACACACACTACACTACGGTGTTGTCTATGATGACGCCAGGAAGAAGATTGTCTTCATTGATGTGAAGGAGAACAAGGTGATGTCGACGTTAGACAATGTAGACTGTAGTGAACCACTGTGGCCGATGTTCGGGGTGTATAGCCCATCTCGCCTCACTATCAGCATGAGACTTGTAGTGGGCAGCGACATCAACGTGAATGAGGAGAAGAAAGCCATGATTGTCGAAGCACTGTCGTGACATCGTGTTATGACACCGGCGGCCATGGTGGTGAGTAGGAACACACAGGGAGATATGTACCAACGATATCAACATGACGGTGGAGAAGAAAGCTCTAGTTATAAGACACTGTCATGATGCCATGTTATGACACCGGCGGCCATGGTATAGAGTAGGAACACTCGGAGATATGTACCAACGATATCAACATGACGGTGGAGAAGAAAGCTCTAGTTATAAGACACTGTCATGATGCTGTCAAGTTATGAACGTGAAATTTGTTGGTGACACTGTCAGTCCAGCCATACTGTACACATTGTTAACGTAGAGGACACGGAGTCCAGCCATACTGTACACATAATGTGTATCCTGGGGTCATAAACTCGCTTTAAAACAACATGTTATGAACGTGAAATTTTTTGTGACACTGTCAGTCCAACCATACTGTACACTTAATGTGTAGCCTGATGTCGTTGGTATAAACTCGCTTTAAAACAACAAGCTATGAACGTGAAATTTGTTGGTGACACTGTCAGTCCAGCCATACTGTCCACATTATGTGTATCCTGATGTCGTTGGTATAAACTCGCTTTAAAACAACAAGCTATGAACGTGAAATTTGTTGGTGACACTGTCAGTCCAGCCATACTGTCCACATTATGTGTATCCTGATGTCGGGGTATAAATTCGCTTTAAAACAACAAGTTATGAATGTGAAATTTGTTGGTGACACTGCCAGTCAAGCCGTACTGTACACATTATGTATATCTTGATGTCGTGGGTATAAACTCGCTTTAAAACAACAAGTTATGAACGTGAAATTTGTTAGTGACACTGTCAGTCCAGCCATATTATACACATTATGTATATCTTGATGTCGTGGGTATAAACTCGCTTTAAAACAACAAGTTATGAATGTGAAATTTGTTGGTGACACTGCCAGTCAAGCCATACTGTACACATTATGTATATATTGATG